TTTGGATCCTCTCCAAATATCACGCAATGTCGCTGAAAACACCGTTAAACTTCATTCTCAATAAAGTACATGCACAAGTACAGCGAGGATGTATCACATCGTAGTACCATTATTCGTGCATCATGCATCGTTCCCGCTGTGTGAAGCCTTGCCCTTCTTGTGTCACTCCCATGCGAAACCCCACCTATGCTTCGTCGACGCCGCGTTAAGCCTCCCGAGGTCTTGGTCATCTGCCACGAGACAAACAAAGGAGATTAAAGTCAATAGTGCGTCCAAGACATAGGGTTAGCTCCTTCTTCACCACAGTTGGTCTATGTTTGATGCCACGAGTTGCGTGTAATGACAGAAAGATGGGTGCAAAGACCTGGGGTACTGTGCGATAATCAACAAGTCGACAACCAAAGCACCTCACCAACGAAATCGAGTGCTTGGGTCGTCCGCGAGGCCGTTGTGAATCGCAACCCATCCTTCCACTTGTCTGGTGTGAACAGCTTAGCTTCCCCCACAGCAAATGATACGGAGACGCCGCTGGAACCAGCTTTCGAAAAAGGGCTCCAGCAGCCTATCCACAGGCCACCTTGTTGAAATAAATCAGGGCCATCAGGACAGCGTTATCCGCTGGTCTCGTCGACCTCGTTTCGCTGGAAAAAGTCAGCAAACGGTCAGTGTTCTGATACAACGCTTACCTTGCAACATAATTCATAGATCAAGTCTACTTCAAGTGTCGCTTGATGCCCAAGTGACTCCTTCATGTCGGTAAGTTATCCGTCGATGATCCGTCGATGAGGCCTAGACTTCCTTCAAAAGATGAGCGCCACAGAATGCTGCATCGGAGAAAGGCGGCGCGTGCGCAGGGGAAATCTTTGCATCATCGACCATGGATTTCGTGGGCTGAAATGAGGAAGACCGCTTGAAATTTTCGAAGGTCTCACATCGATCGGGGCAGTTCGTGAAGAGGATGGAGGATCTTATTGTCCAGAACGATACGCCCAAGCTGAACAAATTGTCTGATAAAATCTTCCAGAGAACGTCCGCGATAACATATGGCACTGTCGAGTGGTGCGGGATCACGAGTCCATAACCTCCTCGTAAATAACATGTTCATGGAAACAAGCACGCGGGTGCTGGTATCGAGGGTGACGAGGGGGAGGAGTCTGCATCAGAAAAATCCAGAATATGAACAGGGCAGGACTCGCATAGCATGCGGTAACAGCGTGCTGCACAATCCGCAAACATGCTGGGGAGTATCGACTCGGAAAACAGACAGGCTCATGCAAGGCGGAGAGGAAGGCGCTCTGTTGAATGTTTATCAACATCAATATAGTTCCTGATATATAGAAAGATACGTCTAGTGCCAGTCGCAGAACCTGAGAGCTCCATCCACATATCACTTAACCTGCGAAGAGAACGCATGGGACGCGGCCTAAAATTGACTTCCATGACTCTCACTGTCTCACCTGGCAGTTGATCGTTCGCATCTGTGATTGGAGAGTACCTGTGTGAGTCGGACTGAACGCTGTGTCTCGTGAGCCTGAAGCTGGCCATTCACTTACGGATTCACGGAAAAACTCTTGCGATTCCTCTCAAAAGGCCGAAGCAACTTTCGTATAAATAGTCTTGGAGTGCAAACGGTAAGTGGGTAGTAAGCGCATCCAACGATGGGATGGTAAGAATACTTGAAATTGTGAGATGTCGAGAGCAGTGAAACAGTTCTCCCTGAGGATACAAGATCTCTTCAATCTTTGACCTTGTTAGGATCCGAAGCTTGCTCTTACTACCACCCATGGCCATTAATATGATTGAATACCACTAGTACTGGAGCTCGCGGCACAGTCTCTGCTTCTCGCTGTCAGCCGCGCTCAAGTCAACGAACCAACAAATGGTACAGCTCTCGCACACCAGCCGGCTCGCAATCAAACTTCAATGAACAGGACCATTCTTGCTCAAATTACATGCCAATGAGGATATCAACGAGACCATCAAGCGGTACCGTGAATCACTTCGGGTAGGGCGGCAAGACTATCCAGAGCGCTATACAAAGCTTTTTAATTTGAGCTCGGCGCTCTGCTCTCGTTTCGCGAACACTTGGAAGATCGAAGATGTTGAGGAGGCCATTGAGTTCTGCCAGGAAGCACTGGCGGTTTTGCCACCACTCCACCCCGACAGGCACTACTCCCACTTCAGGATACGCAAGGCATATATGTCTCGTTACCGGGTGCAGCATAAACCTGCTGATTTATCACTCGCAGTGGAGAACTTCAGACTAGCATCAAAGCACCTTACTCAAGGCTTTCCAGCCCTTATTATTGAGGCGTATAATTGGACTGTCACAGCGGAGAGGTACAGTCATGCATCAAGTCTCTGCCGCTCTCTAAGCTCCGCCGCTATGTCGACGCATACAATATCCCCGTCAAAGGCCCTATCGACAAGAATGACCTCGTGGATTCCATCATTGCTGCAAAGTCTATCCCACTATATCCTTGTATCGCTGACTTCTTCCAGACACCATCAGACACCCGTCCTCCGCCCCCAACTCAGCAACAAACATCCACGTCACCACCCGATTTCCCCCGTCCTGACGTTGAACCTCAGCCAGCATCATACACAACGTATTCCCCCGAGCCCCCTAGACGGCGCTAGACCACACCTGCGCGGCCCCCGTCTCGTCCACCCACGCCTCAACCCCCGCCACCACTATCTGCCTTACTGGCAATGTCCCCATCATCCCTCTCGCGTTTACCTATCCACATGCTGAAACAGATACTGTTCGAGGCACGCGTACGCCTTCCCACTGATATCCTTGAGAAAGGAGAACTCGTGGCGCGCGTCAGTACTTGACTGGATGAGGAGAGAGCGGCAGCAGAGGAAAGGGATAGGATAGAGAGGGAGGAGAGGGAACAAGAGGAATGGGAACGGCGGGATAGAGAGAGGGCAGCGGAAAGTTCAGCCGTGGAGGCAGACGCAGAAGACGCCCATGTGCATGGGCCAGAAGACCCTGCCGAGAATGTCGAGATGCATGACGAGTCCCAACACCATCATTTCCCATCTTCCTCATCACCTCAACCCAGTTCTCCTCCCAGGACGACATACATGGAACGCTCGGGTTTATGTGTGATATGTCAGGATCAGGAGGCAAATATCGCGATCGTGGATTGCGGGTGAGTATCTCTCATTTCTTATTACACGCACGGCTTTGGCTAACTCGCCCCTACAGACATTTGTCCACGTGCCGTATCTGCTCAGAACTAGTCCTCGCCTCATCTCGCGAGTGTCCGCTCTGTCGTACTCGCATCGTCACAGAGGCACGACTTTTACGGATATTCAAGACATAGGCATGGGGAACGACGAACTTTTTTTGTCATTGCGCATGCACAGAGGCTGTAATTGTAGATCATGCCCAGCCATATGCATGCTGTCCTAGTCTGTATTTCTTTGCGTGGTTAAGGTATAGAGATAAGTTCCGAGTGGGACTTACGCTCATCTGTAACTAATAATCTAACATCATGAACTTATCTCGTCACGGTTGTGCTAATTTACTGCCATCTTCATAAGTTCAAGCCCAGCCTGCCAGTCTATCATCAATCTGCTTAGTTGATGAAATCTCTACTGTTGTCTTTATCCATCAGTCCGTCATGGTTCCAATAAGCTGATCCAGATTCCACCTGACCACTGCTTGAGGCACCCCCAACCTCCGCCGACGCATTGAGAAACGATTTTTATACAGCACCGTCGTGATTGCATCGAGTCCAACAACCTATCGTCAAATGATTGTTTTCTCTCCTGGACTTACGGTCAAATCACACAACATAGAATGATAAAACGACGTCACACGATGACACCCCACCCAGGGATAGATTGACGACATAATGAGGCACTATGTGTCATTGCGGTAGAAGCAGTGTAGCAGTAGAGCCAACGTAGCAGCCATTAACATCTGTGACAGCAGCACAGCAAGTATACTGCTCAAGAGACGACACGCAGACAACAACAGACAGCAACCCGATCGAAGGCCTTGGCGATCTTCAGCAAATGCGTGTCGTACGGTACGTACCTCCAGCGCAAACACGGTGGATGCTGAGCGCTGATGCGCGACGATGACCTTTCGCGGTCTCTCACAGAGTGCACTCATACAAAATTGCTGCAGCACAATATATTGTAACAGTTGAATGTTACGTTCGACAACAGACATAGCTCGCACTTTCAAACTCGTACGCCATACACGCCTAATCTCTGCGACAGTAGTCTTACATCCTTTCGACAGCTGACCGACGAACAACTAAGCAGGCTCCGAGAAGACCCACTTCCCTTCGTCGGATTCTTTCTTGTCGAGTATGACCTGCAAGCGCATAACACATGTCAGCAAAAGTATGGACAACAAAAGCAATGTCATGCGACCTTTCCATTCTGATCCGTCAAGGTGAACGCCTCCGCGTCGATAACGGCTTGGAATCTGAATCGTAGTATCCACGTCAGCAGGTAGGTTCAGATGACGAACAGGGCCCAGGCTGAGACAGACCTGAAGTTCAAGTTATCTAGAGTCGCTTTGACCGTCCAAAGATCGGGTGTGGAAGTGTAGGTGGCAGTCACAATGTGTTTTTTCTGGAAAAAAGGTGAGATTCGAATCAAGTAGAACAGTTCAGCTCGCAGACAGACTCACGTCCCATCCCAAGTATCGACCGAACCTCTCATTCTTGATCGTCGCCTGCGGTTTACCATTGAATTCCACAATCCACTGTCAATATCGCTTGTCAGCACGAGGGTCGGAACATGTCTCCAATGTAATAGCTGCGTACCGTCTGAGCATGGTCGCCTGGCACGCGCGGAGCCAGCTTAACCTCGTCTCCGTCGGTACACGTCAACACATCACCAGTGACAGCGACATTCGTAAAAACACCCTTGAACGTGATCGGCATGATATTACTGTGTTTGTTGTTGGGGAGAAGAGGGAATCAGAACTGGGTTGGTCCTCGAACCTGGGATTGTACCATCTTTTATATGCACGTCGTTGCAAGCTCGGCATTCTGTTGCGCCGAGCACACGCACACATGAATCATGTAAGCGATTCAATTGCAACTGACGAAGTTGGCACACAACATCATCCTGGCACTTCCGAATTGCAAACATTCCTCGCTTCCGCTCGCGGGGAATGTTTGTCAATGGGGTACGAGAGGAATTGTATAGAGATCCACGATGTCTCGACGGTGACTATACTACTCCTGGCACTTCCATTGCAAAAGGAGTTACAAGCATTCCTCGGTTTCGCTCGCGCGGAATGTTTGTCATTGTGGCACAGATGAATTTTATAGAGACCAGCTGATTTCTTGGCGGCGACCACTGCTGGGGACTAGTACGCCTAGCACTTCCATTGCAAAAGAAGTTTGTGACGGGAGTTGGTCTTCACCCTGGCATCCTCGTTGCACCTAGTATTCCAAACCGGTGAGGGATCGAGATCGAAGACCAGATGATCATGGTCGGCCGGAGCATAAAACTTGGTGACGAGGCACACGTTAGCCGTTGTACGGAGGCTGACAGCGACTTGGCTAAGTTGGCCTTTGCATACGGTATAGCTTGCATTCCCATGGAGAAATGATGTATCGCAGTTTTATGTAGGCTTAAAGTTCACGTTGATATACACTGCCAATACCACTGGCAGGTGACTCTGCAGTTCCGGTACTGCTTCCTTTCTCCCTCTGTACTGTGGTGTTCGTCATTACCCATGTTCTCTCCCGTATATTTCTCTTGCGCCTTCGATGGTCTTCTCTTGTCGTCGTATTTTCTTTTCGTGTCACTTTAGTATATGTATGAAATATATTGCATTGTTGTAAACTGTAACTTGAAGCCTGGGTCCTTGGTCAAGAACGCGTGAGTGAGGTTCAGCTACTGTGACACTCAACTCCAGTCACTACTCGAGATATTACATTATTATATTCACACAATATATATCTAACTAGTAAGGGGGGTGTGAGTATGTGTAGCAAAGTGTGAAGAGAGGGAGAGGAAAGGTGCAGAAGATGGGGAAAAGGGGCTAAAGGCGCACTGAGGTAACGAGAGATTGCGAGCGGTCATTGATTGAAGGGTAGCGAGAGGGGGCAGCGCCGGGGTGACAGGAAGGTTCGGGAGGTTGATGTAGACAGCGGTAGGTCGATGTTAAGCGTGGTATTAGGTAGATGAGGACCGCGACTGGTCAGTGGGAGCATGAGGAAGGCTGTGGTTGAGCGTGTGCGGCTGTGCCACGTTAATCAAGGGTGGGGAAGGGTCGAGGTTGGTACCAGGACAGCGGCCAGTTGCAGTTGCAGGAGTTTACTCCTGGGCATGCGCAGCAGCGAGAGGTTGTGGATGGGTGCGGAGGGCAACGCTAGAGCTGCAGGAAGGTGTTGGAGGTGGCGACTGAGCATGGGGAGCGGTGGGGAGTCCTGGTCAACAGCAGCGGGGACGAGGACTGAGCATATGTGCGGTGGATGGCGCAACTGTGCGTGGGTGGCGTCAGGGTCGCGGCAGGAAGTAGTAAGAGAGAGCGGCTGTCATCATGTCGATGAGGAAAAAAGAAAAACAGAGAAAAATATAATAACAATCCGCCAATGTCCTTGGGGTCGCTAAAGAGACCGGGTGCTCGGACTTTATTGCAGAGGTGGTTGCGGCAACCGAGCAAGCTCGGAGTTTTAACAAGGTGCTCAACATTCCAAAATTTCGCTCATGAGTCAATGGCGGCAGAGGAAGTTGGTAGATATCAGTCGATTAAAATTTCGTTACAATTGCTGATCACGAGGTGATGAGTTATTCCATACAATTACACTAAGTATGGTTCACCAGTGGACTGAATGACTTACACGATTTAGGGGTGCGAGAAGGATATACTCATTTCGACCTTGACCTTCATGAATAAGGCCGAGGTTGCGGAGGTGAGTAGTATTAGCCACTTAATGGTCCTCAGCCTATGCCTGCGCTGGCATTTTGAACGAGAGTCTAAAGAGGATGAAGTGGGCTGGAGATACTGTGAGCATCAATTGACAACAGCTGCGATATTACAAAACAGGGGACATTATACTTCATCCCCGTTGATCCAGGGATCCCAGGCCCCCAAGGGTATGGTATGTAGAATCGAGGAATGTTTGTAAGTGTTTGTAGTTCCTGTTGCAATACACCCTGGCGTGGTTCATATTATGTGGTCACTGCCGTGAAATTGGCTAACCTCTAGAAAGATCCCCTGACAAACATTCCTCACGAGCGAAATGGAGGAATGCTTGTAACTCCCCTTCCATGGAAGTGCCAGTAGTACAGTCACTGCCGAGATATCATGGATCTCTATACAATTCCTCTCGTACCCCATTGACAAACATTCCTCGCGAGCGAAAACGAGGCATGCTTGTAACTCCTTTTGCAATGGAAGTGCCAGGAGTAGCATAGTCACTGTTGAGACATCGTGGATCTCTATACAATTCCTCTCGTACCCCATTGACAAACATTCCCCGCGAGCGAAAACGAGGAATGTATGCAATTCGGAAGTGCCAGGGTGATGCTGTGTACCAACTTCGCCACCATGGCTGATCACGAAGTGATCAGTTGCAATTGAATCGCTTACATGATTCATGTGTGCGTGTGCTCGGCGCAACAGAATGCCGAGCTTGCAACGACGTGCATATAAAAGATGGTACAATCCCAGGTTCGAGGACCAACCCAGTTCTGATTCCCTCTTCTCCCCAACAACAAACACAGTAATATCATGCCGATCACGTTCAAGGGTGTTTTTACGAATGTCGCTGTCACTGGTGATGTGTTGACGTGTACCGACGGAGACGAGGTTAAGCTGGCTCCGCGCGTGCCAGGCGACCATGCTCAGACGGTACGCAGCTATTACATTGGAGACATGTTCCGACCCTCGTGCTGACAAGCGATATTGACAGTGGATTGTGGAATTCAATGGTAAACCGCAGGCGACGATCAAGAATGAGAGGTTCGGTCGATACTTGGGATGGGACGTGAGTCTGTCTGCGAGCTGAACTGTTCTACTTGATTCGAATCTCACCTTTTTTCCAGAAAAAACACATTGTGACTGCCACCTACACTTCCACACCCGATCTTTGGACGGTCAAAGCGACTCTAGATAACTTGAACTTCAGGTCTGTCTCAGCCTGGGCCCTGTTCGTCATCTGAACCTACCTGCTGACGTGGATACTACGATTCAGATTCCAAGCCGTTATCGACGCGGAGGCGTTCACCTTGACGGATCAGAATGGAAAGGTCGCATGACATTGCTTTTGTTGTCCATACTTTTGCTGACATGTGTTATGCGCTTGCAGGTCATACTCGACAAGAAAGAATCCGACGAAGGGAAGTGGGTCTTCTCGGAGCCTGCTTAGTTGTTCGTCGGTCAGCTGCCGAAAGGATGTAAGACTACTATCGCGGAGATTAGGCGTGTATGGCGTGCGAGTTTGAAAGTGCTACCTATGTCTGTTGATGAATGTAACATTCAACTGTTACAATATACTATCGTGCTGCAGCAATTGTGTATTTGTGCACTCTGAGAGACCGCATCAACATCCATAAGGCCATCGATCGGGTTATTGCTGGTTGTGGTTCGCGTGTATGATGTAGATTAATGACTTCTACGTATGTTGCTTCTACCGCCATGTAGGAAACAATAATGAGGTACCGCGGTGCGAGTACCCGATCTATCCCTGGGTGAGACATTAGAGTGACATCGTGTCACGTCATTCTATCGTGACTTCTCTGTTTTGTGATTTGACCGAGAAAACAGTTACTTATTCCTAGGTTGTTTGACTCGATGGGGGCGCAAACAGGCTACCCAGTGGTCGCAGCTTATCGGAACTATGGGTAGATGGGGACTCATCAGTAGGGATTTCATTCACTGAGCGGATTGATAACAGACTGGCAGGTCACGACAAGAGGGAACACAGGCGAGGACCACATGCACACTGGGCTTGGACTTGTGCAAGATGTCGTTCAAATGTTGTTCGCGTAGTACATTAGTCCCCTCAGTAAGGCTTGTCTCCTAAGCACAACTCCCCACCGTGACTCGGAGATGCGTTAATAATGTTGGATTATTAATTACATACGAGCCTGGGTTCCAATCGTTGCTCATCTCTATACCTTAACCGCGCATAAGAAATACGCACATGGAATGCCACCCTTGGCAAGACTTTGAAGATGTAAGAATCTATTATTATGTCAGAGATATATGGTCTGTAAGATCCTTCCAAAGACACTCTGAAAAACCGCCATAGAATGCTGCCTCTGAGAAAGGCAGCGCGTGCGTAGGGGACATATTTGCGCCATCGACCGTAGACTTCGTAGATGTGTACGTTGCGCTGAGATGAGGAAAATCACTTCAAAGGTCCATCGATCGGGGAAATTTGTTTATGAGGAGGAATAGAGGACCACTATATTGTCCAGAATGACGCGCCTAGGCTGAACGAATTGTCTATGAGATTCCCCCCCCTGATAAATCGAAAATTGTGGCAGCGTGCGGGACCATGAGTACATGACTTCCTCGTAAACAATATGCTCATGCTGGCAACAAGGGCGTGGGTACTGGTATCGATATCGAGGGCGACGAGGGCGAGGTCTACGTCAGGAATCATATAGAATGTGAGTAGGGCAGGGCCGACCCTTACAGCTCGCGGTGACAGCATGGTGTATGGCCTGCAAACATGCTGAAGAGTTGAAAAATAAGTAGACGGGCTCATGCGAGGTGGGTAGAAAGTGCGGCGCCCTAGTCCAATGTCTATCCTCATCAGGGTGATCGCATAGGAAGATGTGCATAGTGCCAGTCGCAGAACTGCTGAGCGCTTCATCTGCACAGCACTTTACCTGTGAAAATAACACGAGGATAATGCATGAGACTGCAGCCGAAACGATGATCAACTTCCATCACACCCACTGTCTCACCTGACGGTTGGAGTGCATCTGTGTGAGTCTGACTGAACGGTGTCTCGTGAGTGATTTCCTAAAGCCGACCATTCACGTACGGATTGTTGCAAGAGATCTCTTACGATCTCGGTCAAAGGGCCGAAGCAACTCTTGAATAGATAGTCTCCAAGCTGTCAGAAATCCTGTACGTTTCAATTATATCAACAAGAGATGAAGTCGAAGAGGATATGCCCCGGAGACTCACTAGCACTGCCGATCCCAAACAAACCGTTCTAATTCAAAGATGCCAGCGCACTCCTCTCGTATAGATAGCTCGCGATCCACCGTAGTTAAGACCCCAAGCGCCAACCACGTCTACCCCGACCAGTGGGAAGCAACAGATGCAGCGGTCACACCTATGCTACAGATATATTGGATGACGGAACTCAGATGGCCGATAGTGTCAGTTATTTTCGAATCACGTTTGATGGACACGTATTGCCTGTGGGGGTGCGGAAGGACTTTCACGTTGATAATGTAGATAGAGCATGAATATACGAATAGCAAGATCATGAGTTGAGTAGCCCACCTTCGAAAAAATGACAAGCGATGCGAACTGACGATGGGCTGGATGTTGAACGCCCTTCGAGGATCAGCATGGTGACGTCTATACTCTCGAGGTCGGGTTTGACCGAGGGGAACTTAGTTTACCTGGTGGCAGTCCGACATGTTTGGCCTTGTTAGGATCTAAAGCTTGGCCAGTACTCCCGAGTTGATTCATGATCTACTAAGGCAGCGGCCACTGAGCTTAATCAGGGACAAACACCGGCTCGCAACGAACAGGAGGATCCTCTTCACCCACTCTCATTCTCACTCTTCCTCCAAGTCGCATTGAAACTTATTATATATCCTCGTCACTTAATATTCCATTATCTGCTGCATGGGTCATTTTAGGCCTCCCTCGAGCCGTCCACTGTCGCAGACCGTCGCTTTTGTTTTTATGATGGTCTCGATTACCCTCTCCCATCTCATCCACTCAGTCCAACTCGTATTGACATAAACCGACTTTTTCGCGGCTGTGGATTTCTATCATTTTCACCGCTTTTACGCACTACGAAATACACTGGTTTCTATCCATTCCCTTGCAGTCTACAGTATGAGTAATACAAGAGTTGCAAGGCTGGGTCAGCATCACAAGGCACTCTGAGACTCGCATGTCTGCTCCAGTCTACTGATTACCACCAGCCTGGTTCATCGGCCGCCCCCTCGTTGGCCATTTTCGCTGATGACTGACCATGACATTGCCCACTTCTTTACCACAGGCTCTCCCGCTGGCATCTTTTGATCTCAGTGCTTAGTAGAACGAGAACCAGCATCTATCGTGCCGAACACCCATCAATTGGAAATACTCGGGCAACGTCATGATGACCCAAACCCTCATCAATTTCTCCTCTCCCTCTCACCCACTGCAACCGAAATTCTTCCCCAGTCCTGATATCCATATCGCCGTCCTATCCTACCACTCATCTCGCCCACCGTCCAACCCATCTTCGATCCTCCGTGTCTCTTGTCGTTTGCTTCATCACGTATCATACCTAGTAACATGGACTATCAATCTATCAGACTTGAAGGTGGGTAACTCTGTATCACTTTGGTACTCGTTTCGTGATCTTCACGCTCTATCTACAGTCATCAGTGGAAAAAATCTCTATTTCCCCTCCTTCCGCATACCCGCGAGTCCAGACTCTGGAAATCAAGCTATCCGAGTCCCTTCATCAAACAGTTCTGTAGCGTGGGGCGATACCTTGACCCTGTAAAGCAATCCACCGAGCATATCAGATCCGAACTGGTCCTTGATTTGTGGGCCATCGCATGCGTCACCTAAATTATCGGTCGAGATCAGGGCATCTTTGGAATTCGGTGGAATGCTGGGCAATGGAGAACTCATTGGACAGCTTGAAATGTCTTGGGTTGAACCGCTCGGTCATGGAGATGAGCCTTTGGGTGAGTAACCTGCTTCTCATTCATGCACATCCACTAATGTGTCGTAGAACTGTCCTTCCCACTCGTTTATGGTGTTCACCCATCTCTCACGTTGAAGGCCGCTTTAGTGAATGTTGGTGGAAACAACGACGGTGAACTGTTGACTGTGAGTGACGCCAGCCTTTGCACTGTCGACTTCTCCTGACAGATCGCAAACTTTATTAGTCCATCATTGACTGCGAGATCGCTCGAGACACGGATGCGGGTCACACAAGATTTGCAGCATACGTGACTAGCAAGCCGGTCTCTGACCTGAATGATGCCGTGGAACATGTTGCGTTGGTTTTAGAGCGGTGTCCGGTCGGCCACCCTGACCAACCTCGCGTGCGCACGCTTTCAAGGGTACATTTGCAACGAGCTCCAAGACATCGACTCTACTACCTGTCTATTTCGCGACGCTCTTGCATTCGTCCGCAGGGCCACCCTGATTATCCATCATCTCTGTACCATGTCCTTAAAGCATTGATCTGGCGCTACAGCAAGGAGCTTGCCGCCATCAATATCCGCGAATCTGCTCAAATCTCCCTTGAGCTACTACCTATCTGCCCAGAAGGCACATATCTTCGGACCATCGTGGCAGGGGCAAGTGGTATGGATTATGTAATCCGCACATGCAACAATCTTCCGATAGACGCATCCGATGAAGGCATCCACCTTCGACGAATCGTACTCGAGCTCTGTCCTTTGGGCCATGAATACCGTCCCAGCTCCCTCTATAAGCTTTCATGCGCACTCGGTACACATTTTGGGTAATGTGGGAGCATTGTTGATATAGATGAGAGCATGCAACTTGGTCGTGAAGCTGTTTCTCTGTGTCCCGAGGGACATCCTGATCGTGGTGTCTACTTGAATAACTTGGCTGTCTCACTCCGCTACTACCGCTTCCGTCACCAAGACAAATCTGATGACCTCGACGAGGCCGTCTCTCTGTACGAAGAAGCACTGTGCCTGAGCCCTGTTGGGCATAAATCTCGGGATCTACAATGGGGCGCCCTCCTTGACCGTTTCAAGTAACGCGGTGAGGTAGAATACATCAACACAGCTACCAGCCTCCGTCACGAGGCACTGACATTGCGCCCACCTGGGCATCAAGAACGTGATACCACACTTTCCTAGCGAAGGGCTAGGTGAACATGACGCCCCACCACAATAAAACATATGTTCTGAATCTCCTCCAAATATCACGCAATGTCGTTGGAAACACCTTGAAATTTCATTCTCGATGAAGTACATGAACTCGTACAGCGAGGATGTATCACCTTGTAGTACCGCATTCGTGCGTCAGGCCCATGCGAACCCCCACCCACTCCCAAGTCCTTTGAAAGTCTATGAGTGCGTCGAAGACCTAGGTTTAGCTCCGTCTTCATCGTAATCGTTCATGTTATGCAACATGCTTGCAAAGACCTGGGGCACGTACAATCATCAACAAGTGGTGCTAACGAAGTACCTCGCCAAAAAATAGAGCGTTTGCGTCGTCCGTAAGGCCGGCCATCGTGAATCGCAATCCACTCTTCCACTCGTCTAGTATCAACAATTTAGTTTCCCGCAGCTAATCATACGGAGACGCCGCTGGAACCAGTTATCGCAAAAAGTGTTCCAGTAGCCCATCCACGGCCACCTTATTGAAATAAATCAGGGCCATCAGGACAACGTTATCCGCTGGTCTCGTCGACCTCATTCCGCTGGAAAGAGTCAGCAAATGGTCAGTGTTCTGATACAATGCTTACCTGCAACATAATCCACAGATCAAGGCTACTTCATTATTGGGAAGTGTCGCTTGATGCCCGAGTGACTCCTTCATGTCGGTAAGTTATCGATCGATGATCCGTCGATGAGGCCTGAACCTCCGTCAAAAGATGAGCACTACAGAATGCTGCATGTGAGAGAAAGGCAGCGCGTGCGTAGGGGAAATCTTTGCATAATCGACCATAGACTTCCTGGGTGTGTGTCGGGAAAAATGTCGAAGGTCTCACAGCAGTCGGGGCAGTAAGAGTGCATTGTCTCCGAACAGCGAGAGTGTTGCAGGTGAAAGAGATGATGGGAAAGTGAGGTTGTGGGACGTCGAAACGGGGAAGATTATAACAGCTGTAGTTCTCAAGAATTGCGACATGGAGATTCATCGAGAGGTGCTCTCCATGGTCAGTCAGCTCGGCATGGACGTCACGGTTAAAAACAAGCTTATCTCCGGGTCTGTAAGTTTTGGCTTGATTAGGATATTCGATCGATCGGGAGCAGATCATACACAATTCCAGCACCGCCGTCGCTTTTGTTTTCATGACTCTCTCATCAACTCAGTCCAACTCGTATTGACTTGAATCTACTTTTTTTTGCGACTGCAGACTTCTATCGTCTTCACCACTTTGCTAATGTTGTACACACTGCGAAATACAATGGTTTCTATCTATTCCATTGCAGCGTACTGAATGAGGCTTATGAGTGATACGAGAGTTGTAAGGCCGGGTCAGCACATGTCTGTTCCAGCTGACTGATCACCAGCAGCCTGGGTCATGGTTAGCCACTTTCGCTGATTACTGACCATGTCATCGCCCACTTCTTTACCACAGGCTCTCCCGCTGCTCTAAGTCTCATCTCTTCATCTCGGCGCTTAATGGAATCAGCACCAGCGTCTATCATGCCGATTCTGCCGAACACTCATCAATACACGTGCGACATGATGCCCCATCCCTACCCTCCGTCTTGTCCTATCGCTCATTCCGCCCACTGGGCCACTCAGCCCATCCTTGATCCTCCGCGTCCCTTGTCGTTTGCGCCATCATGGCTGGTAGCTTCGAAGGCCAATGCATCAGACTCGAAGGTAGGTCACTTTATATCAACTTGGTATCCATTTTCTGACCTTTACGCTATATCTACAGTCATCAGCGGAAAAAACCTTTGTGTCCTTTCCGAGCGTATACCTGCAGGCATCTACGTGTCCATTAAACTCGACCAGACGAGACTCTGGGAATCAGCCATTCGAGTCCCATCATCCAACAGTTCTGTAGCGTGGGGCGATACCGTGAACCTGTAAGCCAATCCTTTCAGGCCCGATTTTGAGAACTGATCCTTTGTTTGTAGACCATCACATGTGTCACCTCAAGCATCGGTTGAGATCAGGGCATCCTTGGAGCTCAGTCGGATGCTAGGCAATGGAGAACTTATTGGAAAACTTGAAATATCCTGGGGTGAACTGCTCGGTCACGGAGATGAGCCTTTCGGTGAGTAACCTGCTTCTCATTCGTGCATATCTACTCATGTGTCATAGAACTGTCCTTCCCACTTGTTCGCGGTGTCCGCCCATCTGTCACAATGAAGGCCGCTGCTGTGAATGGTTGCGGAAACAACGACGGTGAACTGTTGAACGTGAGTGACTCCAGCCTTTGCACTGTCAACTCCTACTGACAGATCGCAAACTGTAGTCCATCGTTGACCGCGAGATCGCTCGAGACACGGATGCGGGTCACACAAAATTTGGTGAATACATGACAAGCAAGAGGGTCTCTGATCTGAACGATTGCTGTGGAGCATTATGGGTCAG